CATTGCCTATTTAGTTCTAGTTCTGTGACAATATCCAGTATGAGAGGCCGTATCTGTAGTTGTGCTGGGTTTAATCCAATCGTGTAAGCCCTTGAGTCGACTGGCTGTATGCACTGTCTCATACTTCACTTGAGTGGGTATTGGTTGAACATTCCCTATATCACTTGGAATAAGGAGTGTATTTTATATATTTTAGTTTCTTAGAAAAATTCTGTTCAAATTGGCAGTCACTGTGGCAGTAACACTATACATTCTTGACATGTGTACTTACGAACAGTGCATCATGGCGGTCACCATGGAGGCCACAAGGCCACTGCCATTGAGGTAGCCACTTTTCATACTCAAGACTCTACACAAAGCGGCGTCGCTGCGGACACTTGACGCATTCCTTCCACTTTGACCAACTTTCTTTCACTTTTACCACTTTAACGTTTTCCTCCGTTTTTGTACAGAAACAAATTGGCATTTCGTTGTGTGCGTGCGTAAGCGCATACAGAGCAAGCACTAGGACACTGCGAATGTGTATTTTAAACAGATTCACATGTAAACACATACACACATTCCTCTTGTACATGCTCATATACATATGGCTGTGGTTTTTTTCTCAACTTTTATTGTTGCCTTAGTGCAGCCATGGCTACCCCTGTGTTTGGCATTTATTATGTTATTGTTGTTGGGGTTTCCAGAATTTTGTTCCGCTGGGAAATTAGTTTTCTGTGGTTTTATGCTCTCATTTCATCAGCGGGACAGAAACAAAACTGCTCGCGTTAAAAGCAACTTTTTCAACGCCCATCCGCTTTTGCTTTTTGCCGTTGTGAAAGGAGCGTTATCGTGTTGTGTTGTGACTTTTCCCGGTTTCTTTGGGTTGCTCTATTCACTACCAGCACCTGGCAAGCTGTTGATGATGACGCTTTTTTCTCTGTTGTCTCAGCCGTTTTATATGTAAATTGTGGAATTTTATTACTCGAGCGAAACGCACACATGGGCACAATGCAAAACGCGGAAGAAACAAGTGATCCTTTTAACACTTGAATTTGTTGGGAAGCTGCAAAAATCACACACCCTCGTATACAAAAAATTTAAATCTTTAGAATGAGATATTCGTAGAAAGAAGTTCCGCAGCGTAAGGTAATAAAAATTTGAGAAACCTAATATGAGAAAGTAAATTAATTGGCCCTCATTAGCCAGCGATATAAGGATGCAAACGAAAGTCAATACTTCAATAATGTTTTCCTTAAGAATTCGATGGAAGCATTTCTGACAAAAGAGTATAGATAATTAATTATATTCTTCAATAACGGGTGTTATTTTTAGAAGTGTGATTTTCAATGAATGAATTGATGTTTATGTTTCCAATAAGACGGCGCTACATGCCATATATGTCGTAATCCTGTGACGTGATCTCCAAGATCGTGCGATTTAACACTCCTGGACTATTTTTTGCTCAAGTTATATGAAGTCGCTTGTCTACACAGATAAACTCGAAACGATTGATGTCTAAAAAGATAATACTTGGTGCGTTATTGTTGACATATGGCCACAATTGTTGCAAAAAATAGTTTAAAATTGGGCCTCTTTGATGGAATTTATTCGAGCTAGCCGCCGCGGGTACTGGACAGAATGGAATCTTTTAGACATAATGGCAAACCTTTATCTTCATTAGCTATATTCTTTGGCATGATTATATGATTAAACTAAATGCGTTTTATTTCTTCTTGAAAACCACCGGTCTAAAAAACACTCTCTATTATTACATTTATACGCTGAACAAAGTATATAAAGTTCGTATGACTACTTATTGTATTGTTAAATATAAATTACAGATAATGTTTTTGAGGCCTTCATTTAAAATGTTTATCAAACCTTTACGGTTTTCGTCAGGCTACTAAATCTATGATTTCGGAAATGTTATAATGAAAGGTATTTAATGCATGCAACTATAAAATGAAAGTAATTTAGCTGTTAGTACGAAATTTGGTTATATTTCGAATGTCGTCTTTTTAGTCGAACGGAAGTTGAAAATGCAGTTGTCTGGGCCGGGTGGATGTTTCACGACGCACCTAGGCCTTTAAAATGCCCATTGTAACGCAGGGTGTCCTCTCCGAGGTGAAGTATTAAATTAGGTTGAAACCACCTTAAATGACAAAAACTAATTTTGAAAGAGAAAGAAAAAATAATAACAGTTGTGAATATTAAAGTAAATTTATATTTCTAATGACTTTGCAAATGCTGTCGTTACTTTAGCACAACAATCAAATGTACAGTTAAAGTCAATGAAATTTAAGCTGTCAAAAACATAAATTATTTGGCAGAGAAACTTTTTGCGGCACATAATAAAAGTCAATTTGACAACAATTTTCGACGATTTGTGAAAATGGATTAATGAGCGAACATACCATATGTACGAGTACATGCGTATATAAGTATTGAGTAAGAACGAAGCGGGGCGAAATTCGAAAGTAAATAATAAATGAGGACAAATACAATAATCTCATCAGCGGGGTGTAAAAAAAACGTAATTAATTTTTGGCGGAGGCATTAATTCCCAAAGGGGTCAGCGGACGTAATCAGCGCGAATATAATAAATAAAGTAATTAATTTCCTTGCAACGTGTTTCCGTACAGAACTGAAATCCAAAGCGAATGCGGCGCAAAAACACAGCAGGGCGAAAAAGTAAAGAAGGCAATGATATGAGATGAGTTATGATGGTCCGAAAGGAGGCAAATAATGGCGCATGGAACAACAGTAATTGTAAACAGTTAACGATGGAGCATGCCACATTTCAAGCTGTGCAAAACAAAAGGCCACAAAGTAGGTGAGCATATGACTGAGATTAACCGAAGGGAAATACATAACGAGGGAATTGTGGAGTATGTAACGTAAAGGGGAAAACATACGAAAGCAATCAAAAGTGTGACAACATTTCAATCAGTCTGCAGTACCAATCAGCTGTACATTGCTACACACTGTATGCGCCTAAAAGCACGCAACACGCACAACACGCATGTCAAAGCTTATAGTACATATGTATGCTTATATGTATAAAGACGTTACATGAGTACACTCTCATAGTTATATGTTTAGAAGTATGGATATACAAGAAGCAAGTGCCAAACTAGTTCAAATGCGGCTAGTAGTAGTCTCGGCGAGACGGCATGTTCACAAAATGGATATGAAAGATTATAAAAGAAAAGCAGAAGAGCAGACGGCTCTTTTTAAATCTCTACCTTTATTATACTATTGAATAATATGCTAGATTATGTTTCGCTATGTTTTATTATGATATGCTATGATGTGCCGTATATTAAATACAATACTTTTACTTTACAAACTACCCGACCAATGTGTTAAAAAACTTTTTCTTGTTACACACTAACATACAGCATATATTGTTCTATATAACTTGTTTGTTAAGCTGTCGGTAAATGGTATGTTTTTCATTCTTCATTTCTGACTTTAACCGCCAAGACGCTGGGGAGTGTCTGCAAGGCAGTGAGTCAGTCAGCCATCACGGGTTAGCAGGCGTCAAGAGTCGCGTCAACTAATCATCGGCATGTCCCGTTACTAACATGAACGACAAAAAGCAGAAGAAACAATAATCAACGGAACAGAATAGCGAACTCTCAATGATGAATGGTGACTCAACCATATGATTTATGTACATACATTTTATATAGACTATTACTATGGGGTTTTCCAAAAAAAAAAAAAATAAACGATAAATAAAAAAAGAGTTTCCGTTGTATATATATTTTTTTCTGAAAAGAGATCACATTAGACCTGGAAGCCTTGAACCGTTACAATAAAACACCAAATCGTGGTTAAGCTTAAGGAAAGAACTTTAATTTTTCTATGAGTTACTTAACGTGGGCTCAAAATAAAAAGCAAAGAAAAAATAATATCCGATGACTTCGTCTTGGAACGACCCAAGTCTGTAAACATCTATGGCTGTGTACAACATCAACAGCCCCAGCAGTGCTCCACCTCTTTAACACCACAATACCTTTTGTTGTCACTTTCATCTCTTCCATTTTCATGTATTCATTTGTTTTCTTTTTAGCGCGCCTACTGCCACGATCACGCCGGCTGTCACGATGTGTCATGTTAACTCAAATTACCGGAAATAATTTGTCCCTAACCGCCAATTCTGCAGCTCCCGCTGTTACTGACGTCTTCAATGCTGTCAACATTCTGGGTATTTTGCCAGTTGGCCTCGTTTGGCGTTTGTTGACACAAACTTTTGCATTCACTTATAAGCATAACATTGTTGTTGTTGCGAGTTTCTTTGTTTTTCTTGTGTTATTACGTTAGATTTCGCTTTGCGTAATGCAGATTTCGAAGCTTGTGCTCGTATATTACTGTTATGGGTAGTTGATGCTGTCTCTAGAGTATTATCAGCAGTAATGTTCTGCTTTTCCGCTGAGCTGGAAATATTAACATGTTTCGCTGGAATATAAGGAAACATCTCAAAAAATCATAGAAATATATGTATATATCTTACGAGTTTAGGCAGTATTGCCTGTAACAACAACACCCCCAGAGCGATCGTTTTCGACTTTAAAAAAACCAAATGTTATCTTAGGAACACGATGGGCCAAGGGTGTCTCAATGGTCTTGCACCCTTAAACATTCACAAAAGTATAAATGTAACTGATGATAAAATCCTCAAAAACCGAAAAACCAATTCGCGTATCCTCCACTGTTTTACCTTAAGAGTTTTTAAATAAAATGCCAAACTTGTCTGTTGCATTTTCCAATAAAATTTAAAAATATTTAATGATAGTATAAATTTGTTTACATAAGTCAGAATACTTGAAAATTGCTGAAGATAAAATACAAACCCGAGAAAACTTGAAATCCTGAAAATAAACTAAGCAAGTGAGAAAAACACTTTTAAGCACTAGATTATCATTGATATACATTTTTTCTTCTTACGAATGTTTAATACATGAATTCAAACCCATTATCTTTTCATTCATAATCCACTAATTTAACAAAGAAAACCTCCATCACAACGGCCTGCTCATAATTAAAGATACATTTTGGTGATCACTTGTTTAAGTCTGTTAAAGAAGAAAAATGAAATAAGTCCTCCATTCATCTTGAAATATTACAATGATACATTAAATTTGTTGAAGGAATAAGTTCATAAGATTTTTGAGCTCCAGCCGTACTACGCCAATTTTTAAACAAATGTTTTCTTATTAAGATACCTTAAAGTATGTTCACACTGCTGCCTAAAATACGTAATATGTGATAAAATATCCCAATAAATCAAACCTGAATTTATTGAGTCTTCGAAAATAATAATATGAACGAAAGAAAGTTTTTATTAGATTTCGGTTTATGTGATAGTATTTCTTAATTAAATTCAAAGGGTTCTAATGCAAATGTTTCAAATGCAGATTCTTGCAGAAATCGTTTATTTTTCGGTTATTAACAAAAAATAAGAGACGGTTTGGTTTACTCTTAATATGAATATTTATGTATTTATGATAAGTTAACCTCATTTTAAATTTATTGACAGTTTATGTATATACTAATAATGAGCTGTAAATTAAGATACTCTGCTCACCTAATCATTTATAATAAATATAGTACACTTTTGCAAAATATCAAAATATTCTTTGATCATTTCTATATGGACAATTCCGGCCATTTTTTGAAGAAAGTTACGCCATGGGTATTATTGGATTTAAATAGCATTTGGTGCCAGGGTATTATTTACACAAAAATTTATGTAACGGATATTTTTTATATGTGTGTTTTTCTATGAGGCAATCTTCTTTTCGAAGTTGGTCCTTTTTTAAAACTGTTACTTGATTTTTACACTTTACATTTTTGGCAAACCGACATTTCATAATGGACAGACTTAAAACTAAACAATTTGCAATCGTGCAAGTTTACTACCAAATTATGGTTCATTTCACGCGACGCATTGTCCAATATTCGACGTAATCGCTCAGCAGAGACAGTAATTTGAAGTCCCATGGATCAGTTTCAAACCACGATTACTCTAGTAGTGCAGTGTACTCCAAAAACGCTGTTGCAGCTGTAGAGTAGAGTATCGAAGAAGACCTGAATGAGCCCATCCGCCATCGCGCGAATCAATTGGAGCTGTGCCCATTGACTTTGTGGAAGATTTTCAGAAGTCATTGTTGAGACGCCAGATTTTGGTACGCTATAGGGACATTATTAATGGATTTGTCGTTCCTGAATTGCAGGAGGGTTGATGAGGACAAAATTTTCAGTTTTTGTGGGGTTACGCAGACACTAAAATATATGCATTTAATTTTTTCTTAAAAACCAAATGTCTAAAATAGACACCCTTTACCACATTTGAGAGGCTATATGATAATAGGAAAGTGTAAAAATTTATTTATTTATATTAATATTGTATTTTTATACCACATACTATGCGACCAGAATAAGGGCGATTTTATTCACATAATTCTATATTCAGATTCATTCAGGTGAAAAAAATAAAAGGTGAGAAATATTAGTTTACTTGAAGAAGTGTTTGTGTAAAAGAGCTTAAATACCAATGCAAAACGAATATACATAAATGCCACATTAATGGGTTAAAACCTGAAATATTTTGCTCAGCGATATAATGAAACCGTTTGAGAAACTTTTCGTAAATTTATGGGGAATGTCACCTAAGAAAAAATTAGAGTGCATGGCTTACTGAAAAGTAGAGCAGAAACCAGCGTATGCTTATACCAGCTACGAATAAATGTATAACGGTTTGATTGCTTCATCTGAAAGGAGCATTTGCTCAAAAAAACATTAAGTCTTATTATACATCAGAATGACATTGAATTGCTTTGTTATTGTCAAAAGTACAATATTATAAAAGTACATATCTCTTGAATGCTGACAATGAGAAATAACAAATGGACAACGTATGTCGACTAACCGAAATCGGTCTGCTCCGAACAATATTACATTTTTGGGTCGACGAATTAACATATTGTAAAATACTGTTATCGGAGGATACTCATTTTTCATCGTCAGACAATCAAAAAGGAGAATGTGTGATGAGAATATGAAAGATTCCTAGACATAAAATATGTTTGTGTATGTAGACATCTATATAAGTGTAATGTAATAAGTATAACTGTGGGTATTAAGGCAAAGGACTCAGAATGACGAGATATTTATCTTATGAAATCCCTTTCGAACTTGTTAGATGCTTAGAAGTAGACAGTAAGATATGTCAATTTGAACATACATACGGACAATTTGGGTTGCTGCTACATACACACATACAAACACTTATATACTTGCATTACACATACTCGTAGACACGAATTAGTTGAATCGATTTGTGTAGCGGAGCATCTGCGATGAAATATTGTCAATTGTCCGGCGGTAAATCAAGTCAAAGGGTGCGCCCAAAGCAATTCGAGTACTGGCATTTTTTTGACAGTAAACCTGTGCTAATGCCAATAAGATTGTCTTCTGCTATCAGATTAAATTTATTTAATCGACCAAAGGTATACAGACGTGTTGACAAATATCCACATATATTTTCACACCTTCTATAGCAATAGTACGTACCTCCTGAGTATGTATGTGTGTCTATTTCCAGCAGGCGTCAGAGTAAGAAATGCCTTTACAGCAATATCAGCGCGCATTTGTCGAAGGCTTCGAAGAAGATGCGTTTGTAAAAGAACCATAAGCTTTTATTTGTTGGCTGTTTCCACAGTTTTCTGCCCGTTAACGCCTGCACTTCTTCGTATTTTGTGTGTAGTGGGCCATGATCTGTGGTATATACCATGCGCAATCAAGTCCAGAGTAGGCAAGTGTGAATTGAAGGCCATGGAAACTGTTATACACACCGCGAACCATATGCTTAAGTATTTTTTGAATGTGAAAAGGAGGCTAAGTTCCTTACAATGGAAGAATTTTTTAAAATAAATTTGAATACGACAACCAAGGTGCTGTCGTGTCTCAGAATGTAAATAGCACACAATTGACACGCTGATTATATAGTATCGTATTCCTCCAAGTTTTAGGAAGTTTTTATAAAATTCTCGACACATTTTTTAGCTTCCTTACTTTTTGATTATTTCCAGGAGAATCAAATCATCCCTAAGGCTCTAGTTATGCATTGGGCTCAAAACCGAAACGCAGTAAAGCAATAAATGGTCGTAGTTATCGAAACAAAAATTTGAAATAGCTAACGCTTTGTCTATGCCTTAACGTATGTGTAGGTGTGACTTTTATTGCCTTTGCTGTTCGATGTATACATGCCTACACACATATGTGCTCATTTAACGAGCATTGCTGATTGTTTATAAAATACAATGAACGAGAAAGTATTTATATGACTTTAACATGGCAGTCTTTCTGTCCTGTTATTGTGGCAAGGTATTGCCTAGTTTGAGCAATAAGATTATCATTAGATTCCCATTACAGTTACTTTGGAATTTCATATGAAGTCCATAACTGTTGTTGATAAGCGGATTAAGCTAAAAACGGGAGACATTAAAAAAATGAAGGTAAGAACAAATTATATCAAAGCGAATATTTTTATTGTTGTGGCGCACCAGTACTGCGGTATGGAATAAAATAAATTGAGGAAAATTTTCTAAAAAGAAACATTTTCATGTATGATCGTAATGTTGTTCAAATGTAATTCAGAGGTACAAAAAAAATATTAGCTCTAGCATACGTAAAAATTTTCGACGGAAAACGTACATAACAAATTATTGCAGAGAGCTAACCTGATAATGAACTAATTTCGGTCCATAAGTAACAGGATAGTGCAGTATTAATAAACTTTCAATTTCCAGTACAACTATTAAAGTCGAAGAATGCAAGAAGCTAAGTTCGAGAACATACAAACATTGAAAACTTTCGTATTTTTTTGGAATTATGGGAAATATTTCCAGAGGCCAGATAATATTTATTATCATGTATTAAATGTTGCGCATGAAAATGGTGTTGGTCACAATCGTTTTCAGACAAGTGCTGAGTGCAATTTCAAGTGAAGCTCTTAATACCTTAAATAGATAATGTATTTGCATGCCTCGTGAAGGCAACTCATCTAACATCTCTTTTCCAATGGTCCGACCTCATCGGAACAGCACGTTGTCTGGGCCTTTTATGCTATAAAAAATGCAACAATTATGGAAAAGATAATCTTCACCTAAAACTTATGCGAGAATAGGTCTATAGTTCATGTTTTGAGATCCTCATGTGCTTGCACTTACACTGGTTAACAAAATTTTAAAATTTTTTAGTCACATGAAAACTCATATCAAATTTTGAATGTACTAAGGCCACTAAGCAATAATATGTGAATAAAAAAATAAATTTACACATCAGGTTTTCTTGTGTCATCAAAACATATTTTTTCTTAAAAAGTACAAACATCAGCTACTGAGAAAGAAAGAAAGTATTGCTGTGGACTTAGAAATATTCCCTTTTTAATTTTCGCTTCGTGAAATTTGGGTTAAGTGATTACGACACTGAGATTTTAAAGTTTTACAACATTTTATACTCTCGTAAGGTTAAGTGATAAACGAGATTTTAGAATATTTTTTATTAAAAGTAGGCAGCAAGGGATTACATGCATTATTTACAATCACAGGCAAGAAAATATATTATTATTCGAAAGAGATTCTTTAGGAATTTCAATAAGATTTCTTGCATATTGACCGATAGATGCGGTATAAATTCTACCGGAAGTTCCAAAATATTTATATTAGGTATTTGGGGCTTAGAGAAGTATTGACCCGATTCAACCCATCTTTTGCATAAGGGCATGCTGTTATCACAAAAATATTCTCCCCGAATATTAATACTAGAACTTACGGACTAATCGATATTCTCGACAAAAAATCAGCTATATGCTTGGTGGTGGTATCCATTTTCATCGTCTATAAAAAATGCTAAAATTACTTCTTCTCAGCAAGTTTGGCTAAGTTAGCTTTGATAGTTTCAAAGCCCACAAGTGCCTTTCAGCACTTCTTAGTTATAACAATTTATATGTTTATGTTTAATGTTTTCTTGCCGATTACTGATAATTGATCATTTATATATACTTGTACAT